ATACTCTCTTGGTTTGAGTTAAAATAAAAATCACACAAACTCAAAAACATAAGGTAGAGCTCAAAAAAGAAATGAAAACTTAGTCAAATATAACTTCACTTTGAATTAATAAAAATTTAGTTATGAATTCGGTAAAGAACAAAAAGATCTAAATTGGTTTGATAATTAAGAAGAGAACTGAAGAATGAAAGCAAAACTAGAGAGGAAAAATGAGAGATTCGAAGATGAGGACTATTTGAAAAGGGATGTCTAAGTTCTATGTCCAAAAAGGTTGAATGCCAACCCAAGGCCCCCCACCCCGACCCGACAGAATGGTGGGGAGATTAATCACAGTGACTCAGTCAGCAAAGCGGCAGTAGGCATTTACTCGTGTGCATCAGAGGGCCAGCCTTCACTACAAGAAAATTGCAATTTTACCCATACATGTATATGTAGGTAAAAGTGTAGTTATGTGTAGGCAATCATTTTTGCTTACACATATATGAAGTGTAGACATGTGTGGGTATGCAACCGTAGTTAAATGTGTTTACCCACACATAGATGTATGTGTGGGTAGTACTGTTTATTTTTACCTGCACATGTATGTGTAGGTAAAACACTATATCGTGTGTTGATGTTGGTCAGGTACACACCATCTTGGTGACATGGCATCTGACATGGCGTCTGACATGGCACGTGACGTGGCACATGACGTGGTAATTTAATGATTACGTGGCACATGACGTGGAAAATGAGGATATTGTTCCGGGAAAATATAGCCACATGGACACATTTTATGTGTAGCTAAAGATGATAAATGTGTAGCTAAATGATCCAAATAAACGTGAATAAATATATGTGGGTGTAGGTAAAACGAAACGTAAGAGTGGATAAAAGTTTTGTCTATGTGTATCTATTGATAATTATGGGTTGGTACGACTGTTTTTTTATTTAATTAACGTTTATTTTAATAATAACATGACACGTCAATATAATACAAATTGAAAACAAGCTCATTCAACATCAAAAGTATGTCTGTAGATTGACAATGCATAATACTAATAACAATAAGTATCCTCCATGAGAATTTAGTCTTCAATAGCATCAACATCAAATAAAGGAAAACAAGTTTTTACGCCAACACATAGTAATCAGTGTCATGCACTTCAAAAATAATGTATAACGTCTTCTGATTTCAATGCAACTTCTACTCGATTTCATCAAATTCAGAAGTAGAGTCAACAGAGCCATCAATAGGTTGATCTAAGCCAAAAGATGTTGAGTCGCGATTGTGTGCTCCTGAAAAATGATTTGATGCAATTTGTGGCATGGGAGGAATGATATTCTTCTCAATCAACAATTTTTTCATCATTTCAACTGTGCCAACCAACTCACTATAGGTAGGGAGGTTTGAGTCATTTTTGCTTCTTTTAGATCCAGAGGGAGACCGTCCCCAACCAAACAAGCGAACAGATTGTCGTCCAAGCACATTCTCTAATATTTTCTTATCAGTCAATTTCTCGGGTGGGTTATGTGTTCTCAGTTGCATCATTTCTTCTTGTTAGGTTTATAAACCACGTTTACAATTATCCACACTTCTTCAACAGGTATCATTTAAGTGTATCTAAAAATATATGTTTTAGTTACACATAACTCTAAATTACGAACATGTGTAGGTAATACTAAGAGTTGAAAAAATACACGCAGGCAGCCCACTCGAGTGGTATCCACGTAGACATGAAAAAAATGGAGGGAACTTTCCCGCTAAATTTAAGTGTCACAAAACCTATTTATTCACACTTGATATATGTAACTAACTTAATTTAAACGTTTTAGTCTATTACCCACACATAAATCAAATTATGTGTGGCTAAGTAACATCCAATAGCTTGTTTCAGGCTCTGAAAACCCTTTTTGGCCGCTGCAGGATTTGAACCTTGATCTACGTCCAATTTTTCCCACCGCTCGACCAACTGAGCTACCCGTGCGGGTGAGATGTCTAAGTTCTAGGCACAATTTGAGAGAGTTTTTTTTAAATGATGACCCTCCCGGTTCATGGGGTTAAATCAAGTTGTGGACTTGTGGTGCAAGCTAACGCCTCACCTCAAGTTAGCTTCTTTCTGATAATCAATAATATTTGATGCAAAATCTTAAAAGTCGAATTAATTTGAATAGGTCAGTATCATCTGGTTAAACCTCAAATTATGCCATATTGAGACAGTGCACAATAATAATAATACTCCCCAATAACAACAACAACAACAATTTGTTCTAAAGTAAATGGTGTGGTAAATGAACCAGATTTTGATTTTTGTTAGAAATTATTTTATTGTGTCCAATTTCACTAGTTATCCTTGTATTTGTGTATTTAATTTAATTATTCAACCTTTTCTTAATTAGCTGATTTAGTATTTATTATGTATTTATTTAATTAATAATAGAAAAATGGTATGTCACTTTCCTATTGTCGGCTCATAATCCTTTGTATTGTATTGGGACATCTACACATGTGTATGTATACCAGATTGAATGAGTCGATCAACATTTGACTAAGCTGCAAAACCTTTTATTGAATAGTTGAATACTATGTAATATTCATAGTTCTTATTCCTGTAGGTATTCAATACAACCATTAGTGCTCTCTTCTTACCTTCTACTCTATTTATATATATTTGATTGTTGGTTAAAAGGAACTTTTAATTTTTAATTAAAAATAATAATTTTTATAAAATCCTAACTTTGATGGCTAATAAATTGTTTAAAGTATTGTCCTATATAGGACTAATAGTAAACATAAATGCCCAAATAGGACCAAACGTTTTTTATTCCCTAAATAGGACTCTGGATTACCATTATACCCTTTTATATAATAATATTACAACCCTAAATTTCTATCGCTCAACTCCCTGCGCCTCTCATCTCCATCATGATCTAAGCAGTTGCGCCTCTCCCATGCGTCTCTCTCGATCTCGATTTCAATGGTTCCTCTGCCGATTGACTTCGCCATTGATGGGTTGCTGGTTGTCCACAGCCGCCGCCTACTCTGGTTCTCCATCGCCACGATCATCACTCCGCTTATTCCAGGTTTTCTTCTTCTTCTTTCTTTCTCCTTCTTCTTCTTCTTCTTCTTCTTCTTCTCCTTCTCCTCCTCCTTTCTTCTTCTTCTTCTTCCTTCCCCTCCTACTCTGTTTTGCATTTACAAAATCGAATTATTCACTGATTTCCTTGTTTTTTGGTAGAACTTTTCGATTTGATTCAATTTTCTGAGTTTTGCCATTAACTTTTTGGATTTTTGGGCATTGATTTTGTAGTTCGGATTTATGGTTTTCAATAAATTTTTGATTTGATTAAAAACACTGTTTTTTCCGATTTTGGATATTGGGTTCATATTTTTCCAAATTTATGACAGTTTCATGTAATATATTATGGAAGAAAATGTGTATTTTGACGTCCATTTGACAATATTGCCAATTATATGGTAGATTTTCATATGACATTATGGCAGAAAAATATTGTTTTCTTTGAAATGAACTGCCAAATATTATGAGAGAAACTGCCAATATAATGTTCATTTTTTATAAAAGATGGCAAAATTATCTCTTTATGTTGTCAACTTTTTAATGAGAAATCCCTTTCGTTTTTATAATTTTTTGTATATTGGGTTCATATTTTGCCAACTTTTGTGGCAGAAAAACGGTTACTTTGACATCAATTACAACATACTTCCACTTTTATGACAAATCTAATATAAATATTATGGCAGAAATATTCTTATTTTATTCCACTTTTATGGCAAATCTAATATATAGCATTATTTTTTAGGTAACAAAATGACAAATTTGCATCTACAAAACTGACAGAGATGGTTGTACGTGCAGTGGGTGGAGTGGTGGCATCGGAAAGAGCGGCGGAAACATCGGAAAGGCCAGCGGTGGCGGCACCAAAAAGGGAGGCGGTTGGGTGGTGGCGGATTTTTTTCTGGCGGCGGCAGTTAGGTGGTGGCAGATTGTTTATTGGCGGCGGCAGTTGGGTAGTTTTGTTCCGTCAAAAGCTGGGAGATCTGCTAGGGTTTTTTTTTTTGTTTTTTTAATTGTAAATAGATTAGAAATCATTAAGGGTAATTTTGTCAACTAAATACATTTTTAGTCCTATGAAACATGAAAGTCCTATTTGTGCATTTGTTTATTGTTTTAGTCCTATTTAGGGAATTAACTCAATTGTTTAACCATGAACTTTTCTTGAGTAAATATTTAAATAAACCTAAATCTAATTAGTTATTAATACTTGTTACATACTACTCCGTAATACATTTTAGAAAGAAAACATACTCAATATACTTCCTCCGTTCCATAAAAGTTGCAACATTGGAATTCCTGCACTATTCACACACCTTACCTTGACTACGATTTTCTAATAATAAAAATATTATGTAAAAAATATTAATAAATTTGTATTAATGTAAATTTCCAATATGTTAACTTTTTTTAATGTTTACTAATACGTAGATAAATATAATTACAGTCATAGTTGTGTGTTGGCAAACGTGAAAGTCAAACTGTTGCAACTTTTGTGGAACGGAGGATAATAATAATTATAATAATTAATTAAATATGGCCCGATCAGTCTAGATTTAATTATTCTGAATTTAGAACGATCAGACTTAAAACTTCAAAAAGCTTGGACTGAAGAACAGATTGATATGAAATCAATGCTATTTGGATTGGCCGATCTGGTTCAATCCGGTTTTCCAGGACTTGAATATGCTCACCCTTAGTCCAATGCAAAAATGTACACGGCGTAAATGTGGCATGAGTTGTAAGCATTTAGTGGTAAACGTTTATGCCTATATATTATGCCACATAAGTGGTTTTTAATTAGACTGAAACTTTCTGACTTGGCCTGGTCTGTTCTGTTATGAATTGGTCTTTAAAATTGTTTACATTTGATCCGGTCTAATATGGTCCAATCGGTTTGAGTTTAAAAACTGTCTACATCCTAATTTCTCCGACTTACCTAAGTTAATTTGTTTAGGATTAGAATTGAGGAATCCAAGTCACTAAATCGCGTTATCTTCTAATTCCCTCTTCGCTCACCTGGTCCGGTGTTGTCTTGCCGTCCGACCGATACTTGTTTTTCTTCTTGAAATATGGTTGGATGAATTGCAATTAGCACACATCTAAAATTCGACCTAAACATTCCTATCCTATCTTTTATAGACCTCTTGTACAGTTACTTTGAGACGAATCCATTTCTTAAGCGATCCGCACTGTTTCTTACAATTATACAAGCAATTACTGTAATAGATGTGGAAGCGTGAGTTGTAAACAATCCTCTAAGAAGTTAGGGTCTTATTAGAATTGGCGGAGCTATGTATATAGAGGAAGCGAAGGCAGCAACAGTGGTTAGGGAAGAGGCGGAGGTTATGGGAGTTGAGGAGGCCGAACCTTCGCCTGGTCATGGGGAAATCTTGTGCAGGGCCGAGGGAAGCATGTTAGCGGTGGATTCGAGAAGAGCGTTGATAGGCGTCGCAGCTCGAGCTCTGTTTTATCCCACTTTGCTGTATAATCTTGTTAGAAACAGGATTCAAACGGAGTTCCGATGGTGGGACTGGATTGATGAGGTGTATTTCCCATGCGATTTATGATTTCATATCTAATTTGCATTGCATCGAAATTTTGTGTTTTCTTTGGCTTAAACAGGTACAGATTTATAGGTACTTGTTTTTTTATTGGAACTGGATAATTTTTATTGTTTTCAAACAATCCAATTAATTATTATTTGTGAATGCATCATTATAAAACACTATGCTTAGTTCTTTACTTCTATTCAAACTAGAGGGAATTCATGTACACTTGTTTGCATTTATATTCGACTCATGAAGCCAATGGGTAGGGTAGCTAGGCAAATACTCCGCATTAAGATATGTTTGGAAGTTAGAAAATTCTAGGGAATGCAAAATCAAATTCTAAGGAAATTTAGTTTTGTTTGGTTTACCTCCAAAAGTGTGAAGAAAATTTATACATGATTAATGGTGTTAATTTTTTTACGTATGTTTAATAACTTTCTTAGTTTGTAGTTTCTAGTTTCTACTACCTCTGTCCCAGTATCTTTGGAATGAGAAAGTGGAACACTTATTAAGGTTATTAGAATTGTGTTTAATATGAAAATTTTAAAGTATGGTTGAGTTTGAATCACTCAAATATTACCAAATGAAAAGGAAAGACGGTACAAAGATAATGGGGTATATGCAGGACATAATTGAAATAAGTAAATAAGATAAGATGCATTGGAACAAATATAAAAAATGAATTTATTGAGGTTGAACCAATGTTTTGTCCCCCCACATTTTCTTTACTTACTAACTTGCCGTTCACCACTGTTTTCTTTCCCTAATACTCTCTGGGTTCCAAAACGTTATCATTAATGTCATATCTAATCTCCTGGAAAATAGATGGCTGAAGCTTAACTTTAGAGTGTTGAATGAATGTAGTTTTCTTTAGTGTATATTACTATGTGCTCTTGCTTACTGAAACTCTTTGCTTTTAGTTTGTATTGCTAGGTGCTATCCCTTTCCCATCTGATGTGAAGCGGCTAAAACAGCTTGGTGTTTTTGGTGTTGTTACCATGAATGAGCCATATGAGACACTAGTTTCAACTTCTTTATATCAGGTGATTACTTGAAATTTGTTACTATATTTTTTTAAGCCAGACCATGTTGTCATGGTTCTCATGATTGCTACTGTGGAATTGAGCAATTAAGATTTCTTTTCTGGAGGTAAGTTTCATGTTATATTGTTATGTGCACTCTCTTGAATCATTTCTTATGTCAATATGTGTACCCTTGATCAAAAGCACAACAAAACAGTTTTCTATACAAAAAAATTGGTTGTTGAGAGCTTGAAATTAAGGAAAAATTCACATTAAATTAACAGTCTTCCAATATTAATACTAGATGCATAATCTAAAATAATCTGAATTATAATAAGTTTCTTCTCAGAATGAACTGATGACCTGCATAAACCCATTCAGTAGGTAACTCGGACACATGGCCTATTTTTATTGGTTTTCTTTTTTTTCCCATTTTTCTTTTCTTTCCTTCCCTTTTTCCTTTTTGTTTCAAAGTTTTCTTTCATCTTCCTTTCCTTTCCTTTAGGGCTACGACTGTTCCACTGAATCAGGTGAGTAGGGACGTCGGCGGTTGACCTGTCCCTGTTCCGGCGTCGGCATTTAAAGACTGGCCCTTAACACTTAGGCATTTAAATCAAGGGAAAATTATTGGAAGAGGACTAAGACATAATCAGTTTCCCTAAATATGACTACTAAAATCAATATGACCAAGCATGATTAATTAGATTAAAATAATCAATATGACACTTCGGCATTTATTTTTTTAATGTCTTAAAACAAAGAACATTCACTGCTTTCGTATATACACCATATTTATTGGCGTCCCTGCCCCACGTTGCTCTTTTCGGCATCAATGCCTTTCCCACTGACTTTACATTTTTTGCCTCCTCATTACTACCCTTCACCGATGTCATTGCTCTTCACTACCCTCCATGCCAGCATTACTACTCATTATTATTTAACAACAAATAGAAGAGAAAAGGGATTTCAAAAAGGCATATTATGACATCCATTGCCTTCGGTTTTCTGCACAACACTCTCTCTCAATGCATTTATTCACTGCACAAATTCAATCGTCGTAGATCATGACCAAAGAGTGTAGACATCTTAACTCCAGTATCCGTGGGCAACCACTGACATAGTCCTGTTATTGGAGGAGCTTTCTGAGTAACCACGGGCCACTGCAGTTGTCATTGGCCAGACCATGGAGCAGAACTGGATAACACTCCAACCAAAATCTTCATTTTCTCAGGCAATGTTGAGTAAAAACCAAATTTTCATCGTCCTTCCCCACCGGCCTTAATTTAAAGAAGAAGAAAATGAAGAAGAAGAATGATAGCTAAAGGCTTACCATTCCTGGAGCCGCGGAGATGATTGATGGGCTGACGGGATGAAGGCAGCGGCAAGGGGATGACAGGCTAGCGGCGGTGACATTCAGAGAGGGAGAGTCGATTGAGGGAGGCCTTAGGGAGGTGATCGACTATTAACGTCAGGGAGAGAGGAAGTCGATGTTTAAAGGTGTTAGAGATGTCCAGATTCACAGAAATGTTACAGAAAAGATGAACAGAATTTAAAGGAACAATTCAAGAAACTGTATTGAAGAAGAACCAGAATCAATGGCCGAAGCCCCCAATGGCCGAAGCCCCCAAAGAAAGAGATTATTCGTCTCTAACTTCCCAGTACAAGACAAAAGGTCTAAACAGCCTGCTCCCAATTTCTAACTGTAGTCTATTTATAGTAAGGAAGGCTAGCCCCCGGTAGTTATTAGCTCATAACAAACTAGACTAATAACAGACCCTATTTCTTTCTAAAATACACTTTATTAGAGTATTTATCTTCTTTTCTTCAGTTTAGTAAAGTCTCTATCAAATCTCCCCTCCTGAAAATCCAACTTGCCCTCAAGTTGGAAGGGTGGAATTTGTTGTCTGATGCCCTCAGGTTTCAATTCCATCTTCTGCTTCCTCTTCATCCTGATGCTTCGTCCTTCCCTATATCTCATTAATTTCTGATAGATGAGCTTCATTACTTGATCTTTCCAATTCACATATGTTACTGCAACATATATTGTCTCCGGTGAACTTTCATTCTCTTCAGTCTTCAGGTCTTCAATGGCTACAATTATTTTCATGTTTCCCTGAAGTGTAACACTTACAACGGTAGCAGAATTTGTGTTTTTGTCTTGAACATCAGGATTCTCATCCTCTTTAATCTGCTCATCAAGAATTTTTGAACTACAAATTGCTTCCACTCCAGTTGACTTTCCTCCCATTGAATTATGATTGACAACCATGATGCTTTTCAGTAAAACAATGCCACCCTCTGCCACACTTTGAGTACTCCCCATATCATTCCACCATACAACTTCCATAGAAATTCCCCACCAAAAACTCTCTGCAACTGTACATTTCTCAAAAGAAGAGTCCATTTTCAAAATGGTACAATCTTTGCTACTATGAAGAAACACATAAACCAAACAACACTTTGAGGCTGAGAATACAAAGTCAGCTCCTGCATCACCAAGTACATCAGCCCTACTTATTTGGTTCCATCCTTTCTTGTCAGATGAGGGAAGTTTGTTTTTTCTAAAAGAACTCAAATCTTTGCTGCCATTCTTCAGGCTGGAGGAATCATGAAGCATAGAATCCAAATTGATGTAGCAGCATCCTTTGTGAGTTTTCCCAAAATAAAACTTCTATGACAGGAAAAGAATAACCCTCCATTTTCCTCTGCAATCCTCTGTCCAGAGTTGTAAGGAAAAGGATAATACCTTCCTTATTGTCTGGTGAAAATCTCATAGATTGATTAACCTCCTCTTCAGAGTCTAGTTCCGTAACTGAAGGGACCACCAGGTTTAATTTTGTGTTCATTCTTGTTGGTGGGGTCCCCTGAAATTCTTTTTCTGATGCGCCTATGTCAAAAGTTCTTGAAGCTGATGACCCTTGCGAACGGTGTGGAACCACAAGCGATGATGCTCTGTGTGCTGACGAGCGGTGAGAGTCCGCAAGTGAAGAAGCATGTGAACTGATAGAATAACTCAGCGACGAAGATGAAGATTCTTCTCTCACCCGCGTTTTTCTTGGACACGAACAATAAGCCGTCGAAGAAATCTTTCTCGATCGGAAGTTAGAAGAAACACTTCGCGACTGAGAACTAGGAATTTCTACTAGAGTCGAAGCCAGAGGTCCGGAATGAGTATCTTGCGACTGAGACGGACCTTTGCTTTTCGAATTCACACAGCGACGTACCTTCCTCGATCGTCCTCGCCGGTGATGTTGTTTGCTCTTCGCACGTTTCTCCTTCTCTAGGCTTGAGTGTTTCTCTTTCTCCAGGTTTGAGCGATTTTCTTTCTCCGGTTTTAAGCTCTTCTCCTTCTCCACTTTTACGCGCTCCATTGTTTCCGCGATTTTCCCCAAATTTCCGCTCAGATCCTTTCGCGAGTGTGAAACAGTTAGCGGCTCCTGCGATTTCTTCTGCGACTTAGTGAGCGATTGCGACGGACTCTGCTTGTCACAGAGACGATGATGCCTGGTGTTGCTCGATCGATCTCCATGTTCCTTTCGAAGCTTCCGTTCTTGATGCGACGTATCAGAAGTGTGCGATTGATTCATCGATCGACTTTGAAGTCTGTTTTGTATTTCCGCGATGCTAGCTTGCATAGCTACCATCGTCTTCGCCATATCAGCTTGCCTAGCTGCTGTCTCTCTCAGATTTCTTTCTATATCCGTCACACGTCCTTCCATCTTCCCAAGATAGACGTGCTCTGATACCAATGTTAGAGATGTCCAGATTCACAGAAATGTTACAGAAAAGATGAACAGAATTTAAAGGAACAATTCAAGAAACTGTATTGAAGAAGAACCAGAATCAATGGCCGAAGCCCCCAAAGAAAGAGATTATTCGTCTCTAACTTCCCAGTACAAGACAAAAGGTCTAAACAGCCTGCTCCCAATTTCTAACTGTAGTCTATTTATAGTAAGGAAGGCTAGCCCCCGGTAGTTATTAGCTCATAACAAACTAGACTAATAACAGACCCTATTTCTTTCTAAAATACACTTTATTAGAGTATTTATCTTCTTTTCTTCAGTTTAGTAAAGTCTCTATCAAAAGGAGTGAGAAAATTAGGATTATAGTAAGCTGGTGGAATATCTATACAACAACAACAACTCCGCCATGATATCATTTTTTTGGTATCATGCCTGTCCCAAGCCAGGATAAAGGAGGAGGGTGCTGTGGTAGGCGTGTGACGGCCAACAGTATCTCTTAGTCACATCACATGACATGACATGGTGGAATATCTATAATCTATCCATTTAAAAAATGTTTATTTCTTAATTAATTGTACTCTTTAAATATTAAGTAGTACTGATTAAGTATTATTTTAGAGAATCAACTCATAAAGTCATAAATAGGAAAGAGGAGTAGTTATACTGTTATACACATGCGAATGGTAATTTCCTCTTAAATCAATGGTCATGCTAAGGTTCAGTTTGGTTGCAGAAAAATTAATATATGTGTAAAGTTTCTTCCTGAAAATAAGTTTCTCTCTGTGAATTAAGAAATCTCAAATATGATTTCTTTTTCGGAAAGGAGCACATTTGTCATGAAAGTTCAGACTAAAGGAAAGTATATCAGTTCAGGAAAATGTTTTTCCGGGGCCAATTCAGGAAGTCTAGATTCTAGAAAACATTTTCCAAGAATAAAAAGGAACTAGTCCTTTTTTTCCCAGGAGCCCCAGCCTGACAAGATATAACTTTCCCAACCATCACTTCATCCAATGGTGAAACTAGTCGTATCTTTTTGCTTCTTTTATCTTTTTCTTACCAATTTCTGTCTATATTAAATTATTAATGTGACAGTGCTACTATCTATATGTTGTAGGCTCAAGGTATTCGTAATCTGGTTCTTCCAACAAGAGATTATATGTTTGCACCTTCACTGACTGATATATTTCGAGCTGTAGACTTCATCCATGGTAACCTTATACTTATTAAAATAACCTCTTGAATTCGGGGAGCGATGTGCTAATTTTTTCAGATTGAATTTGATTTGTCTCCTTCCCTTCTTGTACACACAGTGTGACACCCAAGGAAATACATTTTAAGAAACAAAACATATGCCCCCAGATCAAGGAAGTAATGTGTTCTTATTTGATGTAGCCATACGTGTTTTAAACTTTTTATCATATATTGTTTGTCTGTTAAGAGAATGTGTCACATGGACAAAGGACATATGTGCATTGTAAGGCTGGCAGAGGGCGTAGTACGACCGTTGTGCTATGCTATTTGGTGAGATGTACATTTAAAATGATTTGATTTAACGATCAGCTGATTGTTTGCTAATCTTTCTGAAGTTCTTTTTGCATTATAGGTTAGGTACAAGCAGATGACACCAAATGATGCTTATGATTATGTGAAAGCAATACGGCCAAGGGTGTTGTTGGCCTCATCCCAGTGGAAGGTCAATATTTGCTTCATTACTCTGTTCGTTTATGTTCATATACTTCCCCCGTCCCTCTATTTTTCCTCTATCTTTGTCCCATTTTACCTTTTTCACCTGTCCCTATAAGTTTGTCTCATACAATATTTGGTAAATTTGGATGGTTGCCATTCATCCTCACTTTATTCACACTTTACCAATTCAATACCAACCACACATTTCCATTTTTGACTATAGTATATTTTATAGTCATGGATGTGTTAAACCAACTTTTGAAACATATCTGCTGCTATGGATCAACACAATCTTTTGGCTGTTTTCTGCATGGAATTGATGCATTATAAACATATTAAGATGTGGCTAGACCGCTAGGTTAGCTATTTGTATTATTTTCGCTCAAAATAATAACTCAAATTCCAAAACAACTTGGTAGAACTTTCTTCACGCAATATTTTCCACAGTAACACACAACTTATTTATGTATGATTTTTTTATAAAAATGAAACGTAGATATGTCTACAAATAGCCATATGAACTCAGACAGAGGAATGGAATATTGGATGCGACTAAATCATGCTCATTTTTATTCATCACAATTAATGGCTACATAAGCATTAAAGTTACTACCACCGTCAACCACAACTACCTGCTGTCGCTGGACTGTAGCTGCCTCGTCAAAAGCTAACTGGGAAATTTCCGAAAATTTTCCTTGAAACTGTTGCTAGGAAGCATCCGCCTGGAAAACTCGCCGGAGATTACTGCCACTGTACTGCTGCCGCATCTGGTGGCTACCACTACCAAACCTGTAAATAATTTTTTGTAAATAAGTTTTTGCAGATTACTGTTGTGGGTACTTCAGGTTAGATTTATTAGACTTTCTAAAATAAGGAACTAAATAAATCCTAGTTTTTTTGCTCAGTTGGTCTTATATGGAGATTTTTTTGTCTATGTTTCTTTTAAGATCAGATTTTAGAGAAAAATGTAAAAATTTATTATGCAATTTCTTAATTTAATACTTCCTCTGTCTGTAAGATATAGTCCCATTTTTCAGTTTGGGACATCCCCTTTTTAATATTAGAAAAATTAGGAAACTAACAGAGATGCTTTTTCTTAGCATTTCAGCCAAAATGACATGAGTAAAATACCTTTTTCTTTTTTGACCGAGGCAGTAAAGGCATTGTTAATTTTTGTTTTGTCAAAAACAACATATGGATATCTATGCAACATTGCAGCATAGTCATTAACAGTTTGGCGTCTAATGATTCTTTTTGGGAATTAAACAGGCAGTCCAGGAATTCTATCATCATCTCATGATGAAGATGGGTAACACATACTCCTTGACCTTCTCTATCACTAGTAGCCCCGGGTTCGTATCTACAAAAAATCTGTCGGCATTTGATGATAGCTCTGTGTTAGTAATAACTGATGCAGATCTTGAGGGATATGATCCCAACCATGTGCTTGTGGCTGCAAGAAATCAGATATGGTCCGATCTTAGTATGGTTTGGCGGTTTCGAATTTCTAGTTTGGCTGCTTTGTCCAGAGTTTCTTGTCTTTGGCTCCATTGCCAACATCATTTAAAGATCCCCAGCTAAGGGCCTATTCGATTATGAGGCTTCAGCTTTATGTATCAATTTGTGTTTGTAAATCTTCATTGTATTTAATAGATACAACCGGCACATATCTTCTATTTGAACCCTGTATATATATGAATCGTGTTCTGCTAGCTTCATCCTTGTCTGATTGAAGCATGGATCGGAACTGGAATTGTTGAACATATTGAACATATCTGAATCAACCATGTCTTCTCCATTCCCTTCATGTTCATAAATTGGCATTTCCAAATTGCACATTTTGCACTACTACTGCTAGTAGTGATAGTGGTACCAGTGGCAGTGGCAGTGGTACTGGTACTACTGTGGTAGTGGTAGTGGTAGTGGTAGTGGTAGTGGTAGTGGTAGTGGTAGTGGTAGTGGTAGTGGTAGTGGTAGTGGTAGTGGTAGTGGTAGTGGTAGTGGTAGTGGTACCACTATCACTACCATTAGTAGTACTACTACTAGTAGTAGTAGTACTACCACTACCAGTAGTACAACTACTGCTAGTAGTGGTAGTGGTACCGGTGCTAGTAGTAATTGTTCATAGCTTCTTTTCACCCATTGTTGAACATATCTGAATCAACCATGCCTTCTCCATTCCTTTCATGTTCATAAATTAGCATTCCCATTTTGCACATGCTTATAAAATTATGAAGTGTAAAATCTTTATGCAAAAAATATAAAAAATAAAATTTCAGATCGGACCAGACTAGACCAGACCAAAACAGAACAGATCAGACTAGACTAAAATATACCAGACCAGACCAACAAATTACAGTCCAAGTAAAAATATCCTAAGAGCCTGGTTGCTTCTGTTTTACATTTCTCACTTTCTCAGTTGTCTTTCTGCTTTACAATTTTTACAATCAAATTTCTTAATACGGACTCCGGAGTATTTTATCATCTATTTTAGGTTTTTAAGTTTCAAAGGTACGGATTACGGAGTAGGCATAGAACGGTTTCGGACCGGGCCGGACCTAGGCGGGCTTTTTATTTTTTGGGGAAGGCCCGGAATCGGCCCGGGTTTCCACCGGGTCGGTCTCAGTCTGGTTCTATTTTTTGTTGCTTTTCTAGTTAACCCCCTCCCCCCTCCCCCCTCACCCCAAACCCCCCAAAACACCCAGCCCAACTCGGGAAAACAAAAAAAATTGAAAAAAGGCCTGAACCAGGTCCGGCCCGGCCGATCCGGTTTCAAAGCAAGGGCAGCCCGGAACCGCCCCGCCCTTACCCCCCCCGCCCTTACCCCCCGGGCGGGTCCTAGGCCCCGAACCGGTCCCGGTGCACCGGGCCAGGCCTGCACAGTGGCGGGCCGGGCCAGTTCCCAAGCCGGGCCAATCGAACCCGGTCCATCACTACTATGGAGTGTTTTGATATACCACACACATGTTTCACCCCATTTTATGCTCCAACCCATTGTACAAGGGGAATTTGCTTGGCTATTGACTAGTGATGGCCGCAGGCCTCCATAGTGGCGGGCCGGGTTAGTTCCCAAGACGGGCCGGTCGGACCCGGTCCATCACTACTACGGAGTGTTTTGATATACCACATACGCATGTTTCATCCCATTTTACGCTCCAACCCATTGTACAAGGGGAATTTGCTTGGCTATTGACTAGCGATGGCCGCAGGTGCACGAAAACAGTGGACCCTTGTAAAATATAAATTCCAAATTATTTTAAAGTGTTATAACTTTTTTATCTGTACTTCGTTTTTTACAAAAAATATATCAAATTTCATAAATATTTATGGTCTTTCATATGACACCAGTATTACATATAAAAGGTGAAAAAAAATGTTGTTTCAACTGTTGGAGATTTTTTAGGCCCAATTTTTTCTTAAATAGATTGAAGTGCTAAAATAAAGATCTAATGTTTAATTTTTTTTTATATCTTTCATTTTTTTACAAATAGGTATGAAATAACACAAAAAAACTCCAAATTTATTTATTTTTATATCAAAATGTTTGACTTTTTAAATCATCATGGATAATCGCAAAGTTTTTTTGAAAAAATGATGTATAATAATAAAAGTAAGATTTCAATTATTCAAATTTTGCTGGGTGAATATATTGATGGCGTTGGATTAGAGTAGACACTAAATTGACTTAGTTGATACATATAAAGTAGTGAAAATTTTAATTTATTGACGGGACTAGATTGTAGTAGCCTAAGGGAGGTGACAGTTGTCAGGATTTTTTATGTGGATAGTGATATGGTGATCATGAGTTGTTGGGTACACTATTCTAATTGTATTGTAGGGAATGGGTTTGATATACTTCATATATATGTGAGTGATTATATTTGAAAGTTTTTCTTAAAAAGTAAAATCAATGAGAAGAAGGGAACAAAATCTTTTTAGTGTTTTAGTGATTCTTTTTAGTGTTTTCTTAAAAGTCAATAAGTAGACAATAAAAAGACAATAAACATATAAAGTCATATGTGAAATTTAGAAATTGAATGAACTCTTGATCAAAGATGTCAGCTAGTTTTTCAAATGGCTACTACTTATTAAACTTGAGTACAAACAATAAAATAACATGATCTCCAAACCATTACAACTAGCATAAGCTCCATTGCAACTAGCATGATCTGTAAAGGTCTTACAACACTTATTAGATAAAAAATGAAAGTGATAGGACATTATGAATTTTAGAACTATGCACTGGAATATGATTACTACAATGCTTCTTATTATGTCCATCTTTCTTATAACGTGAACACCATTGCCACTCTCAAGAAGCAAAGCCTCTAGCTAAAGGTAACACACTTCTTTTTATGTCTAGCGAGTTGGCGTTTGAGACATCATTGCATAGTTGGTTAAATACGGTACGGGAATTAAACGAGGTTTAATACGTACATGTTTTATTTGGTAACATTAATGAAAAAACGGTCAAAATTCGTTAAAAAGCCTTGACTTTTAAAAAACGTGTAAATACGTATACGTGTATAATACGGTATCTGTTATAAAAATTCGGACAAAAAATATGGGGTATTATTTTGAACATTAAAATTATATACTTTCCAAAATAACATATATAGTAAAAATAATAAAAGTATATACATATTTAAGTTGCAAATCTCATCACTACATAAAAGAATAAATTCGTAATTGCATAAGTCAATGACAAAAATAAAAATAGTTATTAAGTCCAAGAAATAATTTTGCAAACTAATGTCAACACATAAGACATAATAATAGAATGAGACTAAGTTAAAATCATCATCTTTATATGATCATCAGATAATACTCAATTTAAACATATCGTTTTCATCAAGATGACAAATGACATATGAGAAAAGTTGTGCGACTGCTACGCGCGGTTATTATTCTTTATGTGTAAAAGTTTTTACTAAAAAATGTCAGGTTTAGAAAATTTTTAATTTTGATATGCTTGTTTGGAAAAACAACATAAATCCAGTAGTATTTTAATTTTTAGTCTTTTAGGATGCTAGTTTTAGCCGCCATGTAATTAATTTTAGTATTTTATAATGGGGGAATTTGACTTTGCACCCCACTTTTTGGGTGATATTGGACTTTACACCCCATTTTGAAAAAACTTTGATTTTGCACCACATTTCATTTAAAATTCCTTTGACTTTGCACCTCATTTAGAATTTTTTCTTCACAAAATGGTATGTGTTGGGGTGCAAAGTCAAAGTTTTTTTAAAATGGGGTGCAAAGTCCAATTTCACCCAAAAAGTGTGGTGTAAAGTCAAATTCCCTCTTTTATAATTGTATTGCAACAATACAAAAACATGGAGTCGCACGGAGGAGCTTTTCTTTTTTTGTTGTTAAACTATTGTTGATCCTCGATACATTCAATGCGTTGATTCAATTGATCAAGGGAAAATGGAAACTAATAATCCAACCTTTTAGCGGGTTTCTTACAATAGTCCCACCTTTTCATTATTCATGAATAATCCAACTTTTGCACTCCATCTTCATTCACTGGTCCCTGATCGATTTATGACATGTTATTCCAACTTATTTTCTTATCCTTGTAAAACATTATACCACAATTCTCACCTTATGATCACATAATGTTTTGCAAAGATAAGAAAATAACTTGGAATAACAGATCATAAATCGGTCAGGGACCAGTGAATGAAGATGAGGTGCAAAGGTTGGACTATTCATGAATAATGAAAAGGTGGGACTATTGTAAGAAGACCGCTAAAAGGTTGGATTATTAGTTTCCATTTTCCCATTGATCAATTGATGTTTCTATTTTTTGTAAAATACGGGAAAAATACGTTTTATACGGGAAGCAAGAGTTTTTTTCCTTTTCAAATGGACCGACATTATTTTTCGTTTTAAACGTGTTTTTTTGTTCAAAAAAATGGTACGTGTTTAAAACGCGTTTAAAACGCAAAAAAAGCTAACCAGACATGTAGGTGGATTGCACGTTGTGGACTGCATAAAATCAACAAGGTCTGTTGCAATCATAACACGATGTCCTCCACATTGACACCACCATGAACACGTATGAACTACTCCAGTTGAAACTCAAGTCTTTTTTTGAGATTAACAATAAAACTTCTAGATGTTTTGTCCAGCATCTGAAACTCAAATTGAGTAGCACGCTTAACCTAAAATAGAATAATCAACATTACAAGTAAGTACAAAGTGAATATAGTGTTGAAATAATAGAATAAAGTGTCATTCGGAACATACACTTTTGCATATGCATTTTCATTTCAGTGTTTGATGATATCAATAACTATAGCTATTGTAGCTTCATGATGGGAGGGGAGCTTCTCTAACATTAAGAGAGCCTGTATAACCAAAATCAAACTTAGAAAACAACAGACAATACATATACAGTAAGTAGCCAATAAATACACAATAAATTCGAATTATAGTATAATAATAGCAGACCAGGTAAAATAAAACACAATATCTACCATTCATTATTTCCAACGATGAAATTATCGCAAGAGGTCGTCAAGAAACTTCAGGGTGAGAAGCCGTAGACCATTGCCGATCAAAAGGTCAATTGGGAGAACAATGAATGTCACAACCCTAGCTAGGGCGTGCAGATTAATGGTGAACTCCCATCGTGGAATTGTCAGCGGTGATTTATGGTGCTCTTGGAAAGCTAGAAGGCTTTCTATTTGGTTTCCAAAAATTCAGAGTATCGGTGGAGCCGTAGACTCCGGAGTCAAGATCCGCCGGAATGTAGCCGATGTATCCGGCCAAAACCAGCTCGGTGAGACCATGACGATTTCATATGGA